AAGGATCGGGCGGTATCCTCAAAACTCGGTTATAGGGTGGAGTACCCAAGGATCGGGCGTGTATCCTCAAAACTCGGTTATAGGGTGGAGTACCCAAGGATCGGGCGGTATCCTCAAAACTCGGTTATAGGGTGGAGTACCCAAGGATCGGGCGGTTATCCTCAAAACTCGGTTATAGGGTGGAGTACCCAAGGATCGGGCGTGTATCCTCAAAACTCATAGATTATTATTTTATAATTTGGGACCGGGCGGTGTCCTCATGTTAAGATGATTTGAACCAGGAGGAGTTCTATACACTCATAGGTATATGGGTGGGTTGGGGTTTAAGCCAAGGTTAACGGCTATATTATTTCCCAAATAAACAATGACCTAAGGGTCGGGTATTTCCAAGTGTATATATAATGATATATATTTCATAACTTGGGGGGAAAGAACTATATGTATATGTATCACCCTATGTTTGGGTCTTATACTTGAAACGTTAGTTATTCTACATTTAGCCTGCTACTCGCTCGGTACTTGTACTGACCCCTTCGGGGGGCCCCACCATTTCAGGTTGAAGCTCAAGCTTGCATTCTCACCTTGCTCGGTGAAGTAATCTAAAGGGAGACGTGGTTCGTGCTTCCTTTACTATTTTAAACTATAAACTATGCTCATGGATATTTTGTAATAAGTACATTTGTTTTGGGCCTGCGAGTCCACGTCTTGGCCATATGTGGCCCATGATTGAATATTGAATATTTCCGCGATTCGTTCAATCCAAATATGTGATGTTGTTATGTATGTTTACTTACTGAGTATGGTATGAACAATGTTCATGGACGCCTTGTATGATTAAGTTACGTTGACTTGCGAGTGACGTCATTTAGTCATACGGCGGTTGTACACGCGCTCGGATGCGGTCCGGGGCGTGACAATTAAGTGGTATCAGAGCCATCTCAGTTTCTAAACTATATAATCAACCTCTCACATGAGACCTTACAAAAGAGTTTTACCGAAAACCATGAGCATTGTATTTTGACGCTTATAGAACTGTTGTTACCTAAGTTGCAAGGTCTCTAGTTGTTAAGATGGTACCCTTAACAATTGGTATGGCGGTGACTTGGGCCAATACGTGTCTATAACGTTTTCCGTCAATTGACATTGATTGGAGTCTAACGACTCGTCCAAATTCATTTTCAGAAATGGAGGGTAGACGCGTGCGGACCAGGAACAATCCGAGAGGGCAAGCACCGATAGCTTCCGTTGGAGCTAGCCGGGCTGCATCTCGAAGCTCCAGAGGTGGAAGAGGAGGCCGTGGGGGCCGTGGAAGTCGTGGGGGCCACCGAGCCCAAACAGTGAGTGATGGCCACGTGAGTTCGGTGTACGAGACTAGCACCGAGAACCACGACTCTACTTATGTTCCTGAAACGGAGCATGAAGAGACCCCATACGATGGGGGTGATTTCCACACTGATGATGAGAATGATGATGAGAGTGATGCCCGATTCGCTCAAATGGGTGAATTACTTGAGTGGTATCAAAAGGAGAAGTTGAGGAGAGACCTTAGGCGCCAAGCAAGGCGTGGTTCTCCAGGTGTGTCGGCTCAAGGAAGCCGGGGAGCTCCAAGGGCCACACCCGGGGCTCCACAAGGTGGGCTCGAGGGAGGTTTCATAGTGAGAATCTCCAAGTACCTCAAGGAGGCTAGGGCCTTGGGGTGTAGGTCCTTCGATGGCACCGGTGACATTACCGTTGCCGCCGATTGGATCAAGAAGGTGAAGGATGCATCAAGGGACATGCAAATTACTCCGGACGTGAAGCTAACCGTTGCTTCATGGTTGCTTGAGGGGATGGCTTCTACATGGTGGGAAGGTGTAGAAGGGAAGTACCGTGGGAATATCTCATGGGAAAATTTTGAGCGGGAGTTTTATGCCCAATACTACTCCGATTTTGAGGTTAATGTAAAAAGGAGGGAGTATACCAACCTCAAGCAAAAGGAAGGTGGCACCGTTAAGCAGTTGGAGCAAGAGTTTAGAACCTTGGCTAGGTTCTTACCGGAGTATGCAATCGATGAGGACCGCATGACTGAGCACTTCTGGGATGCCTTACTCTTAGACATCCGAGATCGTGCTACATACTCCCGCCTCATGACTTTCAGTGAGGTGGTAGAGCAGGGCATGCTTGGGGAGGCCCAGTGGAATGAGAGGAAAGCAAGGGACGCCGAGGAGGCGAAGAAGAGGAAGTGGAACAGTTCGGGGCCGCCCGACCATTCCCGAAAGAACAACCATGGTGGTGGTGGGGGCTCATTCAAGGCGCCGGCTCCACCGGCGAAAAAGAACAGGGACGGGAGGTGGCACGGACCTAGGCCACAGAACTCGGGAGCACCTAGATGTCCCAATTGCTCAAAACAGCATTTTGGGAAGTGTAACGAACCACCAAGGTGTTTCAAGTGTGGAAATACGGGCCATATGAAGGCCAATTGTCCTCAAGCGACGCAGGAGAACACACCGGGAGCCGGAGGAGGGGCCGTGACGGGGAGGAACCGTGCGGGACCGTCACATGGTGGCACGGGGAGAGGCGGCGCATCAACGAGCCATGCCGCATCCGTCAACCAAGGCGGGGCCCAAGCACGAGTCTATGCTATGACCGAGGCCGATGCTCGGGCTAACCCCGACTCCGTTGCAGGTAATCCCTTGTAATGTGTGATAAATTACGTGTTGTTTAGTGTTAGAAATGATAGCGGGCTAGTGCGGACTTGCCGGGGTCGATACCGGCCGGTTTTTAGCAAAAAGTTGTAGGAATACAGCTGCCCAGGGGTAAACCGGCGCCGGTCAGGGCTTAAACCGGCGCCGGTTCTATTTAAAAATTAATAGTTTGGGGCTGCCGTAGGTAAACCGGCGCCGGTTTTGCCCATAACCGGCGCCGGTCCGGTTTCGGAGGTGTTGAAACAATTAAAAATGGGATTTTCCGAGGGGTGCCGAAGGAAAACCGGCGCCGGTTTTGCCCATAACCGGCGCCGGTCTAGTGGAAAATTGGTCGGGGCAAATCACCGTGCTCGTAACCGGGGCCGGTTTTTAAAGAAAATCATTTTCCGAGGTTGCCGATGGTAAACCGGCGCCGGTTTTGGTCATAACCGGCGCCGGTCCAGTGTATTTGTTGGGTATTCGGCCACCCCAGGGGAAAACCGGCGCCGGTCTGTCCTAGAACCGGCGCCGGTCCAGTACATTTTCGGCCAAGAAATGTTCGTTTAGCCCATTTTCGATCCGGTACTTCGAGTAGTGTGTCTTACATCATCTATAAATGTAGGGACACTATTGATCAATGGAAGAAATGCAAGAATTCTCATTGATACCGGGGCTCAACGTTCATTTGTGAGCGAAGCGTTCGCCGAAGGTCTTGACGTGCCATTGACGCCAATGACGCTGATAACCGCTTTCGCGGCGTTGTAGTAAAACGGAGTCTAACCTTTCGGTTTTTCCCCGAGTGTCGTGTCTCTTGAGGAATGGCGGAGAAGTTTCTTAATTTAATTTTAGTCACGGGCTATCGCTAATCGTTGGAAGCTTTTTCAATATAGGAAAGTGATTTTGTTCTGTATTATGCTAAATTATACTAGGAGCAAGGTGCAATTTAAAGATTAATGTATAAAGATTGAATATTCAAGGATGCAAATAAGGGCAATGAATTGAGTAATTAGAAATGGATATGTTCTTGGACCTCTTAATTAGGGAAATTAAGACTAAAGTTGGACTAATAATTTCTTTCCTCATAGACAAGAATAGAAACTATCTTCATTAATTTATCCTATTTCTAGGTATCATTAATGTGTTTAAAATGGTTGGCTTAAATTATATTCTAAACCCATAGACAAAGTAGAAATAATTTTCCAATATTTTAATTAATAAAAATAGCCAAATTCATTAACTAGTTAAACTCTTTATTTTAGCAATTGAATTTATTTCTCATAGACAAGATGTAAATTCTTTTCATTAAATTATCCTATTTCTAGGCCTTATTAATGTGCTCAAATATGGTTGGCTCAAATTAATTTCTAATCTCATAGACAAGTTAGAATTAATTTTCCAAGAATTTAATTAATGAAAATGGCTAACTATTATTAATTACTATTTCATCATTTTAAACAACTAGTCCAATTTATTAATCTTAACCCCTAATTTTAGGTCAACAAGTCAATCCATATTCCTTTTCTCAATTCATGCCCTAACAAATTTAGCTACTCATCACCATTTTTGCAATTAACAATATAATGATTAAATTCAACATTAACAAGGAATTAAATATGTATGATAGCAAAAATTAAACAAAAATTATATTCTGGAACAATAAACTTGTAAGAACTAAAATATAACTTTCTGGAATTTTTCACAAATTTTTGAACCTAAAATCCAATTTTTAACAACTAATTGATAACCTTCCCAATTTTAACTAGAAAATGCAAAAAGCAACTAAAAATATGCTAACTTCATTATAAATTTTATTTTAACTACTGGGAGGTATATAACTGTGAATAAACTGTAATCAGGTCCGAACTAATTTTTTTTTCCTTTTTTTAGTATTTATTTTGATTTAAGCAATAATATAAGGTAATTACCGAAATTAATAAAAAAAACGCTAAGTTCGTACAAAATTTTATATTAACTACTAGTAATGATATTTAAGTTAACTAAACTGTAAATAGAGCCGAACTCATTTTTTTCCTTTTTTTTCTAGTATTTATTCTAAATTATGAACTAATATCAAATAATTACCAAAATTAATTAAAAATTACTTCTGCTTCGTGAAAAATTAATTTCTTCAGCTAAATAACTTCCTTGAGGCTAGTGAACAACTATATAATTAATTGGAATGAATTCAACAACAATAACTATTTTATTTAATTTTTGGAAGGAAATGCGAAATACTTGAAAAATAATCTGGAAATTTTCGAAGAACAGATCGAAGAAACAAAGCACAGATTCAGATTCTACACATTGAGAAGATGAAAATACATATAAAGAACTTACAATTTGGAGCTAAAATGAAGAAGATATGAAGATTTGAAGTTTCTCTCTCTCTAAACCCTTTGGAGCTCGAAAATGGAGGAAGAAAGAAGGTGTTTTGAACTGATTTAGGGTTGGAAGAGGTGTGTTTGAGATGTAGAAAAAGCCTGCTATTTATAGCAGAAATTTCACCGAAGGCGCCCATGCAGGCGGCCGCCTTCCGGCAGCATCTGGCCGCCTGCCGTCAAGTCGCCGGCAACACGACGTGGCCGGTCCCGTCAGCCGTAGGCGGCCACAGAGGGCGGCCGCCTTCCGTCACACCTTGGCCGCCTGCCGTCTTTTCAGGGTTAAATCGGATCGCGGCGGATCCCGCCGGATCCCGGCCGCCGCAGGCGGTCCAGCAGGCGGCCGCCTGCCGTTCCTGTCTGGCCGCCTGCCGTCAAATCCCACCGGCCGGCGGTTGCTTCGTCGTCTTCTGCCGCAGGCGGTCACCGTAGGCGGCCGCCTTCCGTCCAGTGTCGGCGGCCTACGGTCTTTTCCGAACCCGGTCAAAGTCAAAGTTTGACTTTCCAAAAATACCGTAGGCGGCCGCGAAGGCCTTCATTTTGGCCGCCTGCCCGGCCGCCTGTGACCTAATTTGTCCGGCTTGTTCCTTATTTTGTGCTCTTCAATATTGTCTTCTGGACCACTTTGAAATAATGTCTCCTTCTTTCGGTATGATATCATTTGTTGCTCAAATTGGCTCATTTTGTGCTCAATTGACCCGAAATTCCGACAAACATACGATGAATGTGGTTTTCACCTGATTTCATGAAACTTGAACCAAAATATCTAAAACATGCCTTTTCTTTCTATTTTCAATCAAAAATCGCTTAAATTTGATAAGAAAAATAAGTACAAAAATGGACTTATCAATCTCCTCACACTTAAGCGTTGCTTGTCCTCAAGCGACGAATTAGTTGGAAACACACTCAAAAAGGGAAAACCTGACTATATCACAATCGAATTGCTATTAAAGAAGTAGAAACAAAAACCTCTTCTTTTTATTCTCAATCTTTAAACATTTTAGAAAAATCACCCAAAATACAAGAATTTAAAATTAGTATTACTTAAGAAAAACTATTTATTATGTTAAACCACCAATCAATTCCTTATCCCAAGATTTTCATTATTCTAATTTGGACATTCATCTTGTTCACCATTTTTTTTTTTTTTTTTTTTTTTTTTTTTTTTTTTGCTCTTTTTCACTCTTGTTGGCGGTGTTATCCCATGGTAAATGCATATTTCATTCTCACAGACTGTGATTAGCGAATGAAACAGAGCCCCTTTTCGGAGATGGAATTGTCCTATAACAATGAGTTTTGAAGAGGTTTATTAATAGTAACATTTTTTTAATGAATAAAATGAATGTCCAATTAAAACAAATTCAGACCTTTACATTCGCAACCAAAAACCCATAACAATTTTAAGTTTTCAAAAATAATAATAATAGTAAATTCTTATAATAAGGGTGATTTTCTAAACTATTTTGTGAATTGATAACAAATTGAGAAATTAATGTTTCATATCAAAAATAGTAAAAAGATTGTTCTAAAACAAGGTTTTGACTTTTGAGTGTAAAACGCAACCTCCTCACACTTGAGCTGGACCTCGCCCTCGAGGTCTTCTTTTGAGGCACAAAATTGGGAAATAAAGGCACACATTTTTTTTTTTTGGTTCTTTCCTCACACTTGAGTTTTGAAAAGATTTTGTGAAGAGGAATAATGAAACAGGAGAAAAAATGGTTTTAAAAATCCTTACATCATCCATAGTCAGTTTGTAAGAGCATTCAAGTCAAAAGAGCAGCGCAATGTCCAACCTGAAGAACAAACAAACATGATAAAAATGTTAATGAAGAAGCAAATCTAAACATCGCCTGCGCCATCCTGGGGGCCATAGTGTGGCCTAAGCCAATCTCTCATCTCATCAATATCTAGCCGCTGGGTCTCTAGCTCCGCCTGCATATCCTGGGTGGCTCTCTCCTGAGCTAATCGAAAGTCTCTGAACTCTCCCAGGGCCGTCTCATGCGCCTCTCGCATCTCCTGGAGTCCTCTGTCCTGTGCAACCCGCATCTCTGAAACTGAAGTCTGGAGACTCCGCATCCCGTCCATCATCGCTCTCCAATCTGCGGCGCTAGGCATGTATGAAAAGGGCTCGCTAGATCCCTCATGTCCTGAGGGTCGAGAAGAACTACTCTGCTGGGTCGGCTGCTCAATACCTGGGAGCTCCTGAGTGTTCCGCTTCTTCTTGATCCTCATGTTGGTAAAGGATGAGGATCGAAGAACGCGGATGCTCTCCTGTAAATGTGATAGCCCTGGAATGTCTAGATCTGGGTAGAATGATCTAACGAGGGTAGTGATGAAGGGCCCTGCCTGGATAGTGCGCCGCACAGTCTTCCCCTGGCTCCGGAAGAAACGAGCCATAAGGACAGCCATATTCACCGGGATGCGGTGAATCAAACCCCAAAAGAATAGTATGTCCTTTTTGGACAACCTGTTTGTGTTGTTAGGTCGTCCAAAAAAACCACAAGAAAGTACGAACGAGAGTATGTACCAGTGAGTCTCCCTCCATTTGTTCGAATGGGGGTGCATCCGGAGAAATGATCTGGTGTCTGTGGAGTGTCTGTGCCAGAACTCATCAATGTCAAATGCCTCGGGTAAGCGGGTCGGAAGAGCACGGAACTCCTCAGTCTGTGTGTATGCTGGGGTATAGAGCCCCATCCTCCATCCGAGCTCAGCCACAGTGATGGAGTGCTCCATGCCTAGAATAGTAAACCTCATCCGAGACTCTGACCCAATAACAGCACCCTCCTGCACAGCCTGTCCGTAATGAGTGAACTGAACGGAGCACAGAAACTCCATCGTCAATGGAAGGCTGGCCCTCTCCTGGACGAATAGAATCCTCCGCCATAAAGAGTCTCCTAGCAGGGAATCAATCTCATCCCAGTACCCCCATTCCTCTAGCATCGTCGGGTCCAGGATCATGGGAGGAAGGAGCGTGCGGTATTGCCCCCATGCCTGGAAGCGTCTGCGATCAGCAATAGTAGCAAATGGGATATCAGGCTGAGGTGGCGGGTCTTCCCGTCCTAGTGGTGGCTCCTCGAAAATGGGATCGTCACGTCTTCCTCCAGACATCTGCAAGAAATAAACAAAGTAAAATATTTTTGGGTTAGTTTTTTTTTTTTTTTTTTTTTTTTTTTTTTTTTTTTTTTTTTTGGTTGGGTTGCCTCCCAATGAGCGCTTCTTTAACGTCACTAGCTTGACGAATGTCCTCCTTTGGTTCAAAATTTTTGGAGATAGAGAATCTCCTTGCTTTTTTCAATCGGGCCACCATGGTAGAGTTTAAGTTGGTGGCCGTTGACCTTAAAGGGACCCCCATTAGCATCTTCAATCTCAACGGTTCCGTAGGGGTAAGCTTTTATGACCTTGAACGGTCCGGACCATCTTGACTTAAGCTTTCCTGGAAAGAGCTTCAACCGGGAGTTGAATAACAGCACTTTATCTCCAGCATTGAAATCACGAGCCTTGATGTGTTGATCATGGTAGAGTTTGGCCCGTTCTTTGTAAAGTTTAGAATTATGAAAAGCTTGCGCTCTCCACTCTTCCAGTTCATTCAGCTGGTAAAATCGTTCCTTCCCTGCAGCATCCAGTTTAAAACAGACATTTTTCATCGCCCAAAGTGCTTTATGCTCGAGTTCGACGGGTAAGTGGCAAGACTTCCCGTATACAAGGCGAAAAGGTGTGGTTCCGATCGGGGTTTTGTATGCAGTCCGAAATGCCCAAAGAGCGTCGTCAAGTTTAGTCGACCAATCTTTCCTGGTCTGGGCAACAGTTTTCTCCAGAATGGACTTCAAATCCCTGTTAGCGTTCTCCACTTGTCCCTGAGTCTGGGGGTGGTACGCTACTCCGCTTCGATGTTGGACTCCATATTTGGCCAAAATTCTGGCCATTGGATCATTGTGGAAATGAGTTCCTCTATCGCTGATCAAAACCCTAGGCACACCAAATCTGGTAAAGAGCTTTTTCAGAAAATTCACGACTACTCGAGAGTCGTTGGTGACACAGGCCTGGGCTTCAACCCATTTGGAAACATAATCAATGGCCACAAGAATGTATTTGTTTCCTCTTGAGCTTGGGAAAGGTCCAACAAAGTCGATGCCCCAAACATCAAATACCTCACAAGGTAAGATAAAGTGTTGGGGCATCTCATTGCGCCCAGAAATGTTCCCGATTCGTTGACAGTTATCACAAGAGGAAACAAATTCATTAGCATCTTTAAAAATCGTGGGCCAGAAGTACCCACAGTCCAAAACCCGCCTTGCGGTTCTATTCCCTGAAAAGTGGCCCCCAGTAGGACCGCTGTGACAATGCTCCAGAATGTCCTTTGCCTCAGCTTCAGTAACACATCTTCTCACCACCTGGTCAGCACAAATTCGGAATAGATATGGATCATCCCAAAAATAGTGCTTTGCTTCTGATAGGAACCGCCTTTTCATGTGCCTTGTCAGTTCGGTAGGCTCGACTTTACCAACAAGGTAGTTGGCAATGTCAGCATACCACGGTGTTTGCTCCTTGGCGGAAATCGCCATCAATCTCTCAGCAGGAAAAAGCTCCTCAATTTCGCATTTTCCGAAAGTTTCTGCTAACTCGGCATCTAACCTCGAGAGGTGGTCAGCTGCCTGATTAGCAGATCCCTTTCGGTCCCTGATTTCAATATCAAATTCCTGCAACAAAAGAACCCAGCGTAACAGTCTAGGCTTAGCATCATGCTTTTGGAGGAGATATCTAATGGCCGAATGGTCGGTATAGATAATAACCTTCGAAAGAATGATGTAAGTCCTAAACTTCTCTAAAGCACAAACAATAGCAAGAAATTCTTTTTCAGTGGTGGTGTAGTTGAGTTGTGGCCCTGACAGAGTTTTGCTAGCGTAGTAGATTGGGTGGAAGTTCTTGTCCTTCCTTTGACCAAGGATGGCCCCCACTACTAAGTCACTAGCGTCACACATGAGTTCAAAGGGTAAGCTCCAATCTGGGGCCACAAGCACAGGTGCATTGATCAGTTGTGTTTTAAGTGCTTGGAAAGCATGGTGACATTCATCAGAGAATATAAAAACCGCATCTTTTTCAAGTAACCGGGTGAGAGGTTTTGCGATTTTAGAGAAATCCTTTATAAAACGACGATAAAAGCCCGCGTGTCCTAAGAAGCTGCGGATGGCTTTTACCGTGGTTGGTGGAGGAAGTTTCTCTATCGTCTCAATTTTTGCACGGTCCACCTCTACCCCGTTACTTGACACCTTGTGTCCAAGTACTATACCCTCTTTCACAAGGAAATGACATTTCTCCCAACTTAGGGCTAAATGGGTTTCCTTGCAGCGGATAAGTACTTTCTCCAGGTTTTCAAGGCATTTTTCAAACGTTTCCCCAAAAATAGAGAAGTCATCCATGAATACCTCCATGAAGTGGCCAATGTATTTTTCAAAAATGGCAATCATGCACCTCATGAAGGTGGCAGGAGCATTACAGAGACCGAAAGACATCCTACGAAAAGCAAAGGTCCCAAAAGGGCATGTAAACGTAGTTTTGTCTTGGTCTTCCGGGTTGACATGGATTTGGAAGTATCCACTCATGCCATCCAGGAAACAGTAGTGACTATGGCCTGCCAACCTCTCTATTAATTGATCGATGAAGGGAAGGGGAAAATGGTCTTTCCGGGTGGCTTCGTTCAGTTTACGGTAATCGATTACCATTCGCCACCCGGTAACAGTTCGACTGGGTAGAAGTTCGCCCTTTTCATTTTTCATGACGGTCATTCCCCCCTTTTTGGGGACAACATGAATAGGGCTTACCCACTGGCTATCAGAGATGGGGTAAATGATACCCGCATCCAGCAGTTTGACAATCTCAGCACGCACTACTTCCATCATGTTTGGGTTTAAACGTCGTTGTGGTTGGACAACTGGTTTAAACCCTTCCTCAATCTTGATGGTGTGGGTACAAAAGGCGGGGCTTATTCCATTGATGTCCTCAAGTTTCCAAGCAATTGCTTGCTTGTGTGTCTTAAGGACTCCAAGTAATTTCTCCCTTTGTTCCTCACTTAAGTGTGCGGCGATGACGACAGGGCATTTGCCTTCGTCATCCAAGAATGCATATTCTAAGTGGTCGGGCAGTTTCTTTAGTTCGAGGGGGTGGTCGTTTTTCAAGTTTTGTTCATTTTTCTCCCCCTCAAACTCAATCAATACTTCGTTAGAAGCTTGATCAATCAGCGCATCCTCACAACTCTCGCATGCATCACTCACATCATTGTTGGCTTCTTTTAACAGACATGCTTCTTCAGTTACATGTCCATTTTCTTCCCCAAACAGATACCCTTCAATAGACTCAAAGGTATCAAGAAAATGACATCCTTGAAAGGAATCTGTGGGGTGTTTCATAACATCTGAGAGTCGGAAGGTGCATAGATCATCTCCGACTCTTAGAGTTAATGAGCCATCAGTGACATCAATCAAGGCCCTGGCGGTAGCCAGAAAGGGCCTTCCCAGAATAAGAGGTGTTTCCCTATCCTCTTCCATGTCCATTACTACAAAGTCGACTGGGAAAATGAATTTGTCAACCTTGACCAAGACGTCTTCAACAATTCCTTTCGGATATTTGACTGAGCGATCAGCTAGTTGAAGACACATCCTGGTAGGTTTCATTTCCCCGAGTCCTAGCTTTTCGACTATAGAGGAAGGCATCAGATTGATACTTGCCCCTAAGTCAGCTAGAGCATTATTGAAGTTGAAATTGTCTATAGAGCAAGGGATAGTGAAACTACCTGGATCCTTTAGCTTTTCAGGTATCGACCTCAGAACCACGGCCGAGCATTCTGCGTTCAAGTCCACGACTGAGAGCTCCTGCAGCTGCCTTTTGTTTGTCAGCAAGTCTTTGAAAAACTTGGCATATTTGGGCATCTCCGCTAGGGCATCCATCAGCGGCAGGTTGACGTGGAGTTGTTTGAGTAGGTCCAGGAATTTGTTGTATTTCCTGCTATCGTCATCATTTCTAACCCGTGAAGGAAACGGGAGAGAAGGTTTGACGATAGTGGCCTTTGTGCTCGGGCGGGTTGGTTCCATGCTCTTCTCAGTTGGAGCATCAGTTTGTTTCTCAGGTTCTATGATCAGAGTATCGTCTTTGTCTTTCTGCTCGACTTCTTTCGTTTGTCTCCCACTTCGGAGAGTGATAGCTTGCACATGTTCACGGGGATTTGGTTCCGTGGTGCTAGGCAAGTTGCCTGGCTGGCGACCGGGAACATTGCTTTGAGTAATTTGCATCATCAGATTTTTGATCTGATTGTCAGTGCTGGCCTTGTATCTCGACATTTCCTCCCGTGTCCTTGCCAGTTCTGCTACCAGCAAGCCTATCTCTGATGGTTGGGCAGCCTCCGTTTGTCGTTGGTGTGGAGGCACATAAGCTTGGTTGTTTTGTTGGCTTGATGCACCTCCCTGGTTACGACCCTGGAAGTTGTTCCCTTGATTATTGTTGGGGTAGTTTTGATTACCTTGATAACCGCCGCGAGGAGGACCATTGTTGTAATCCCCCCGCCATTGGTTACCTTGGTAATTCCTTCCTTGGAAATTCTGAGGAGGGTAGTTGGAGTTACCCCCCCGGTTGCCTTGATTCGCCCATGGCCCTTCTTGTTTTGTTCGGCCATACTCCAGCAGGTTCACCTCCCTGTTGTTGCTTAGATTACATTCATCAACTAATTGACATGAATTGGTCAAATGTGGACCAAAACATATCTCACAAGAGAGTACAAGTTCAGTTGAATGGGAAACAGGTGAAAAAGTATTAAATTGAGATGACTGTGGGACAGAGCTTGAGTTCCCGAAGTATCGGGATGATTGTTGATTCGGGACAGCACCGATGTTGTTGACTTGGTTGGTGTGATTGTTATCATTCTTCAAATTCTTCACTTCCACGACCAATCCTTCAATCTTCGCTGTTAGGGCCGTGAGTTGGTCAACTTCAAGATAGCCTGGTTTTGTTGCTGCTGGAGTTCTTTCATCATACCAGTATCTTGCATTTGAAGTGACCTTCTCCACCAGAGCTTCGTTGGTGTTGGGTGCCATGTCAAGGAATGATCCCACCTGAGAAGAGAAATCAAGTTCTTTTTTGCTACTAACTTGAAGTCCATTGTAAAAATGGAACATCAAGCTACTAGAATCCATCAGTGTGAGTGGACATTTGTTTCTCATATCCTTGAAACGATCCCATGCTTCACTTAAGGACTCCATCG